TTTGTATCATATGATAAAATTACATAACCACACTGTACCACATGATTATTTTGTATCATATGATAAAATTACATAACCACTCTGTACCACATGATTATTTTGTATCATATGATAAAATAACATAACCACTCTGTACCACATGATTATTTTGTATCATATGATAAAATTACATAACCACACTGTACCCACTGTACCACATGATTATTTTGTATCATATGATAAAAATTACACAACCACTCTGTACCACATGATTTTTTTGAATCATATGATAAAATAACATAACCACTCTGTACCACATGATTATTTTGTATCATATGATAAAATTACACAACCACTCTGTACCACATGATTATTTTGTATCATATGATAAAATTACACAACCACTCTGTACCACATGATTATTTTGTATCATATGATAAAATTACACAACCACACTGTACCACATGATTATTTTGTATCATATGATGAAATAACATAACCACTCTGTACCACATGATTATTTTGTATCATATGATGAAATAACATAACCACTCTGTACCACATGATTATTTTGTATCATATGATGAAATTACATAACCACACTGTACCACATGATTATTTTGAATCATATGATGAAATTACATAACCACACTGTACCACATGATTATTTTAAAACATATGATAAAATTACATAACCACTCTGTACCACATGATTATTTTGTATCATATGATAAAATTACATAACCCCACTGTACCACATGATTATTTTGTATCATATGATAAAATTACATAACCACACTGTACCACATGATTATTTTGAATCATATGATAAAATAACATAACCACACTGTACCACATGATTATTTTGTATCATATGATAAAATTACATAACCACACTGTACCACATGATTATTTTGTATCATATGATAAAATTACATAACCACACTGTACCACATGATTATTTTGTATCATATGATAAAATTACATAACCACACTGTACCACATGATTATTTTGTATCATATGATAAAATTACATAACCACACTGTACCACATGATTATTTTGTATCATATGATAAAATAACATAACCACACTGTACCACATGATTATTTTGAATCATATGATAAAATAACATAACCACACTGTACCACATGATTATTTTGAATCATATGATACTAGAAATGTGTCATCATGCCACGGATGCCCCCGCATGCAGCCAAAATTTCAGATGCTGCATTAATTATTTTTTTCATTTTAAGTTCAAAGCCCTTAAAACTTTTCAATGTTAACACAAACCATTTTCATACAATGTTCAAGGCACTGAAATTATTCAGTCTTAACCTTTTAAAAATAGCATATTGCATATTTGTAGCCAAAATAATGGCTAAAAGTATGAGTGCTGAAACTGAAAGTTCAAAATTTTTCCAACATTCAGGAAAGATAAGTTTGTCTAAAATCATTGAACCACGACCAAATTCAAACTTAAACTGCTTATTCCTAAGATGTATCTATATTATTTTCAAAGTGAAAGGGACATAACTCTGCCAAAAAATCATCAAACCATGACCAAATTCCAACTTGACCTGCCCATTCCTTTGACATATCCATATGTCAAATTTAAGTTGAATATGTAACTCTGTTGGGTAGATAATGAACAGAAACTGTAAATTTCATATTATTTTTAAAGTGAAAGGGGCATTACTCTGCCAAAAATCATTAAACCATGACCAAATTCGAACTTGGCCTGGGCATTCCAAAAATGTATCCATATGTCAAATTTGAGTTGAATGTGTTGTACCATTGGGGAGATAATAAACGGAAACTGAAAATTACATATTACTTTCAAAGTGAAAGGGGCATAACTCTGCTAAAAATCATTGAACCACGACCATATATGAACTTGACCTGCGCATTCCTTTGACGCATCCATATGTCAAGTTTGAGTTGAATGTGTTGTAGCTTTGGGGAGATAATGAACAGAAACTGAAAATTTCATATTATTTTCAAAGTAAAAGGGGCATAAATCTGCCAAAAATCATCGAACCATGACCAAATTCGAACTTGACCTGTATTTTCTCATGACATATCCATATGTCAAGTTTGAGTTGAATGTGTTGTAGCTTTGGGGAGATAATGAACAGAAACTGAAAATTTCATATTATTTTCAAAGTAAAAGGGGCATAAATCTGCCAAAAATCATCGAACCATGACCAAATTCGAACTTGACCTGTATTTTCTCATGACATATCCATATGTCAAGTTTGAGTTGAATGTGTTGTACCGTTGGGGAGATAATGAACGGAAACTGAAAATTTCATATTATTTTCAAAGTAAAAGGGGCATAAATCTGCCAAAAATCATCGAACCATGACCAAATTCGAACTTGACCTGTATTTTCTCATGACATATCCATATGTCGAGTTTGAGTTGAATGTGTTGTACCGTTGGGGACATAATGAACGGAAACTGAAAATTTCATATTATTTTCAAAGTAAAAGGGGCATAAATCTGCCAAAAATCATCGAACCATGACCAAATTCGAACTTGACCTGTATTTTCTCATGACATATCCATATATCAAGTTTGGGTTGAATGTGTTGTACCGTTGGGGAGATAATGAACAGAAACTGAAAATTTCATATTATTTTCAAAGTAAAAGGGGCATAACTCTGCCAAAAATCATCGAACCATGATCAAATTGAACTTGACCTGTATTTTCTCATGACATATCCATATGTCAAGTTTGAGTTGAATGTGTTGTACCGTTGGGGAGATAATGAACGGAAACTGAAAATTTCATATTATTTTCAAAGTAAAAGGGGCATAACTCTGCCAAAAATCATCGAACCATGACCAAATTCGAACTTGACCTGTATTTTCTCATGACATATCCATATGTCAAATTTGAGTTGAATGTGTGCAACTGTTCTTAAGATAATGAACGGAAACTGATGATGACGGAATGACAGAATGACGGAAGGACGGAAGGATGGAAGGACGGAAGGACGGAATGACGGAACAGGGTAACACTATATGCCCCGGCCATTACATGGCGGGGGCATAAAAATAACATAACCACACTGTACCACATGATTATTTTGTATCATATGATAAAATTACATAACCACACTGTACCACATGATTATTTTGTATCATATGATAAAATTACATAACCACACTGTACCACATGATTATTTTGTATCATATGATAAAATAACATAACCACTCTTTATCACATAAACCGCGGCGCAGGAGTGTAATAAAGCCATTTAATAAAAACAATATTACACTAGTGTAATAACACTTTGACGTGACGTCATTTGCGCTATATAGAAACATAGCGTTAAAGCGTGCTAATGTTAGCGTTTCACTATGGGTGCGTCATTAAACAAATACTCATTTTAACAGTTTACTGTTCTTATTTTATATATGTGATAAATAGAATATCACATTCGTGTAGATTCAATACTAAATTTATTAAACTCGTTGAATAAAACAATATTATGCTCGCCAGAGGCTCGCATAATATGATTTTATTCAACTCGTTTAATAAATTTAGTATTAAACTACACTCATTCAATATCCTCTATGTACCACATGATTATTTTGTATCATATGATAAAATTACATAACCACACTGTACCACATGATTATTTTGTATCATATGATAAAATTACATAACCACACTGTACCACATGATTATTTTGTATCATATGATAAAATTACATAACCACATTGTATCACATGATTATTTTTATATCATATGATAAAATTACATAACCACATTGTATCACATGATTATTTTGTATCATATGATAAAATTACATAACCACACTGTACCACATGATTATTTTGTATCATATGATAAAATTACATAACATGATTATTCTGTACCATATAATATCACAAAACCACACCGTGCGACATGACTATTATCTAATATGCTTGTATGAGTTTTATAATGTTACAGGATGCGGCACATAACTTAAAGTTAAGTAAACATATTTAGTTCACCTATTCAAAGAATACAGATAGCTATTGTAAGTGTTGTTGTCACTGTCACACTTTGGTGTTTTCAGTTTTGATATGAAAGTTGGTATCTCAAAAATTACTTAAAGGAATGGGTTTTAACTTCACACACTTGTTCTTTGTGATTATCTAAGATGGACATAGGGCTCTGTAACTGTGAGTTACCTTTGTCAAGCACTGAGATTACTGGAGCATGCTGTCTTATCTTATACTTCTGATAAATTTTTTGAATAAAAACCAGAAAACACTTTACCCTGCAATATACTTCCCTATCACTAGATAATTATACTTCACAGCAAAAAGCAAACTAAGTACTCACAAAACATAAGCTGGAATTTTTTTTTTTAAATGACTTATAATGACATTTCTTACATCCCTAGACGCAAATAATAAAGGCAGTTTTAGAGTTTTCTTTATATATTTACCAAATAATAAGTAAGTTTTACACCAACTTTTCCACTGATGATGTAAATTAAGGTATCATATAGGACAATGTAAAAGGTTCTTTATGTACTGTAGCCGGAAATATCTCATAAACATTAGTAAACAAGGCATAAATGAGTTCCACTGATGTGTTTTTCATTATTTCCGGAACTAATGGAATAGAATATAATGTCCTACTAGACAGCCACATTGTCTGAGATAAACCACTGCATATAACAGCAAATAACAAGAGCTGTCCAAGAAGCTGTATGCTCCACTTTTCTAAGTGCTGTATAGTATGACTGTCAGTTTAGTTGCATCAGTTTTCAACAGTTAGATTACTTGGACTTAAATATGTGCCCAGGAAGTATGACAAAGCTTCTGTTAAAGTTTGGTCAAAATTCCATGAGAAATGTAGGAGGAGCTGTGTACAGTCCACTAGACATCTGCCTGTCTACTATACCCCAATCTAATAATGAAATGTTTCCTTCCTAGTTAATAAAACCAGGTTGATCTGAGATATAAAATCCTATTAATCTAGATATAAACATCAAAACTTAGAAATGACGAGGTTTAATTGGAGAGCTACAGGAAACTTACCTTAGATTGTGAAGCTAGCATTTCTACTTTCAGTGTTGTATTACTCCATGTATAGTACTTAGTTACTTCTTGTGTAACTAGTGGGCTCTTTATTTCATTCCAAGCAAAGTAAACCTAAGAAAAACAAATAGAATTTATAAGTTTATGGTTAAAATATGGAAACAGGTTTTGGTTTAAAGTATGTTTATCACACATAAGTATGTTTTTCAGATTACATATGTAACATGTTCACAAAGTTGACATGTGAGATTATCATAATTATATAGTTTATTTTATTTGAATCTGTCATTTCTAAAATATTACAATTGAATCAATCTTTATTTTTAAAATATGACAATGAAAAGTTTCATTAAAATGTTTGTTGCAGTTTTATAGATATGGCTATTGTAAGTATAAGTAATGCCATCCCTTAAGCCCCATTTCTACCGTCCCGGTAATGTCCACGGAATCACTATGGTTTCTTAAGCCTGAACCAGGGTGTTCCGTGGGTTTTTTCTGAAAAATCAAATTGCGTTTACACATCCCCCACAGAGCCCAGGTGTATTCCCAGTTAAGTACCCGATATAGCACGGGATATATACGAGAAGTGCCGATTCTAACCCAGTGTAATTACGGTAGATCACAGTGGAGACCAAACTAGACACGGCTTCATCGCGGTCCATCCTGACCATCGCGGATTTCCCTACTGTAATGATGCTGTCCCGGTGACACCTTGGTAATGTGCCTGTGTTTCCTGGTTCAAGTTTATGAGAATAAAACTGCTTGACAACGTTGACGTCAGTCATTTGGCAAAAGGACAGCAGAAATGTCACCCAAAGTATAAAGAAGAAAGTTGGAAAAACTCTGCCTACACTGCCTACAGAGGTTGAGGTACCTTTGGAAACGATTTCCCCAGATAGCAAGAAAGGGTGGAATCAGCCGGACAGTAAGGGAAGCTCGCCTCAGAGGAAAAAAGCAGAGAAAGGCCCTTCTTCCTCTTCACTTCACAAAATGATCCAAAGTAGCACTTCATATATATATTTGTTCTTTAAATTGCCTGTTATCGGCATTAAGTCCTGACGCCACCTGTCGTTGTTGTATATCCGGGACTGGGCGGCAATATCCGGGACATTATCAGGTCCAACTGGAGCATTGTGGCCAATAACCACAATGTACCCTGGCTCTGGCTCTACCGTAGCTTTGCCTGTTTTTACCATGGTGACATTGTGTCATTACTGGGGCTTTGCCGTGTGGACATTAATTAACACACAACACAGTTTACTACAGTTTGTCACGGTATGGATGCGGTATAGATACGGTAGTTTCCTGGCGATTCCCGGTGCCAAGCCGATAGAACACGGTTCGGGCTTCATTCCAGTGAGTGCCGGTGAGCCCGGGATGTATTAAACATTTTAATTCAACCTTGGTGATCTCCCGGTTTGTCCAGGTTCACCAAGGTTTGTTTCAGTATATCACAGAATCACTACAGGCCTACGCCAGTTTACCTTCAGAAATAAATTTCAGCAAACTTCTGAACAAAACAGCCTTAAATAGGCAGTTGATAATTCAAACATTAACAAATGTTAAACTTACTTGAACTTTATTGCTATATAAGTTTAAGTCTGATGTGTTCATTCTAACAGTGACAGTCATAGGGTTACTACTGACAGTCATCTTTGAAAAATCTTTGTCATCTATAGCTTTGTAGTATAATGTATAACCTTCAACATCCTTCAACATTCCACCTAGAGGGTTTGTCAATGCTACCTGAAATTTTAGAAATATCTCTAAAGATTCAACATTGATAATTACTATATAACTTTATACAATCACTGACAAAGACGTTTTGATAAATATCTTAACTGCAAAATAACTATACACAGTCACTGATATAATAATATAAATATTTATTACATGCTTTTCGGTGGTTTATAGAAATATATCAGTGATATAAAAAGTGGTAATTTCACTGTTTGAAACAATGAAATTACCACATTGATAATTTCACTGTTTTGAATTTAAGCCCCTTACGTTGTTTCAGTGAAATACCAGCGTGCACAGAACTGGGTACCAACTTAATGACGTGACGTCGTAAATGACGTCACGTTGTATTATTATTTGGCGCGCTTTTCATTCAGTATTAGGTTTAATGTCTTTTTAAAACGTTTCTTTGCATATAATAAAAAGAAAATTTGTTTAGTTTAGTGTAAGATCGAAATTTATTACGTGCTTTTCGGTGGTTTATAGAAATATATCAGTGATATAAAACTGGTAATTTCACTGTTTGAAACAGTGAAATTACCATTTTGATAATCTCACTGTTTTGAATTTAAGCCCCTTACGTTGTTTCAGTGAAATACCAGCGTGCACAGTACTGGGTACCAACTTAATGACGTGACGTCGTAAATGACGTCACGTTGTATTATTATTTGGCGCGCTTTTCATTCAGTATTAGGTTTAATGTCTTTTTAAAACGTTTCTTTGCATATAATAAAAAGAAAATTTGTTTAGTTTAGTGTAAGATCGAAATATATTTCACCTTGTGAACACCAAAAGTTCATATTTCACTCGTGGCTGCGCCACTCGTGAAATATACCTTTTGGTGCTCACTCGGTGAAATATATTCCGATCTTACACTGAACTAAACAAATATCCTCTATATATTTCACCTTGTGAACACCAAAAGTTCATATTTCACTCGTGGCTGCGCCACTCGTGAAATATACCTTTTGGTGCTCACTCGGTGAAATATATTCCGATCTTACACTGAACTAAACAAATATCCTCTATATATATATATATATATATATTTTTTTTTTTTTTTTAGGGAAGGTAGCCAAGTAGATTTACCAACGTTCAGTCCAAACCACTTGCCCCTCATCCGGTATCACAATGTTAGAACAATAACGAATTTGTAGCTGTGACACATAAATACCGATGTATTGAGTAAATGACACAAGCCAACAAATTAATTTAAAAAGCATGCATTTCCTATCAAATGGTAATTTGTTTACTGAAACAGCAGATCAATGGCGTTGGATTAACTAAGGACAACAACTAAAACTGGAAGCTTTTACTACAACTTTATAATGGCTAATTGTAGAAATTTATATCTTTCTTTCAAAAGTTTTCAGTTACTTTTAATCATAATTAGAAATATTTTACAAACTATTTTATTACCCTTCCAGATTTTTTCCGCCTTTTTGATTGGATATTGATCACCCGAAAGATATTGATATAACCGAGCCAGACGGGTAATATACACATTAAATTTCCCCGTTGGGTACCCAACGTTGTAAACAACATGCGCTGAGGTGATGCGCGTACGGTTCGATTTTACGCGGTGTAAATTCCGATTTACAAGCACTTTTTAACTGTCAAATGATAAATATTTACCAAAGTAGAGTAATGATACAAATTCCCATCAGTATTGAAAACAAATATGACCTTGTGAAAGCTTGATATTAATTACAAAAAAGTGCTTTCAATAGACTACTCCTTTTCTCTTGTTTACATTCGTTAGGTACGGGAAAAATACGTCATGTATTTATGTGACGTCATGTTGTGATGAAGAGGTACCTTAAAGGGAATCTTATTTCGACGTTTCATTTGAAACAGCAATGATTTTTTTAAAAATCGTCTAAACTCGGCAGGGGAAGGGTAATAAAATTATTATTTTGGTTTTGGAGTGATATATGTGGATATATTACCTGCCAAGATAAAATATCACCCGAGCCGTTAGGCGAGGGTGATATAAAATCTTAGCAGGTAATATATCCACATATATCACTCCAAAACCAAAATAACATATAATATGTTAACATTATTACATTGATTTAGAAAACAAATTTGTAGTAAAATGCAGGGTTGAGACCATCAAACTCAATAAGAGCTTGATAATGAAGTTACAGTATACAAATATGTTATAAAGTCAGTAGTTTGCTTTATTTCTTTACTAACCGGGAATGTGTACTGTGGATTTCCTTTAAAGAGAAGTGGCATAGGACCAAGTTTTGCGGTGAAATCTGTTGGGTAAATGTTAACAGAGACTTCAACACTCTGTACATCATTAGAGTTGGCTTCTATAACTTCTCCTTGTAAAACCACTGTTGTTCCACTAGAAACATAATCTGTAATAATATTCATACTAATATGATATCATTAACAATAGTACAATAGTACTAAACTAAACAAAAGAACTGTAAAAACACTGTATTTAAAATTACATGTACAGTAAAAATCCTCTATTTAGACCACTGACTGGACAGGACCCAAGAGGTCTTAATTGCAGGGTGGTCTCATTAGTGGATATTATTATCAAGACATGTTTATATTTTATAAACTATTTTGGTCTTATTCATGAACATGTTTATTATAACAAGAACTGACATCGGAAACAGACAAATAAACCCAAAGCAGGGCCCAGTAGATGTTTCATAACCTTGACCTCCATCAAAGGCATGATTATTATAAATAGAGTGTTTCAAGAATATAAAAACATTAACAAACACTTTCTCATATTCTCAGTGAACACAATTATTTCATAAAGCCTCTGTGAATGAAATGACAAAAATATGACTAGACACAGCCATCAATGTATAATTTTGACATGTACATTGTATATCTATCTTCTTTTCAACTGTCAAGCTGGCCTTCGAATGTGGCAAGTTTTCCTTATGCGCCACAAAATTGTGAATAGTTATTTCAAAATCAACAGAGTTGATGACTGGATATCTGTACATTTATGAAACTATAAACCTTACAAGAGCTGTCATGCAAGTGATGAATGCCCCCAAAAAGGTTTCTTAAGGTATTATGAAAAGAAAAGAGAATAGAGAGTACCTATAATCTCTAATTGTGTTAGGGTGAACCTTCAGAATATAAGTGTGACCTTAACCTTTGAAAAGGGATGTGATTCTTGGACGCGACACAACATTGTCATGTGATAGACATTTGTGCATAGTTATTTCAAAATCCTTCAATGCAGGACAAAGTTACACTCTGGACATGATTGTTGTGTAAGTGGGGACAGACAGACGGACATGAGCCTTAACCTCGAATGCTAGTGTATGCTAGTGTATGTCTAGCATTTTTTATTGTATTCAAGCACAGGAAATAATATGCCCATGAATCCAATCTTTTAATTGAAGGCACCCACTTTTAAATACATTTCCATAACAGTAGTTCATATACACTCTAAGAGGGGTGGGACGTCATGCATGACTTAAAATTGTTTAACTTTGTAAATCTACTTTTGTCATGTTAAACATGTTACTCTGTAAACGTACTCATGTAGTTCTACAACTGGAAACACGTTTTCTTAAACTCTATTTTCTGTATTCGAGTTTTACATTTCATTTGTATATTTCAGTACAATGTGTGCAAACTAGCATAATTTTATGTATTGTATGCAATGGAAGATACCAACTTGTAAATTTGTTGTTGTTTTCCATGTTAGATAAGTTGCTACGATCTATATGTAAACTTGTTATATAAAGGCGGGAACCTTCAATGAAAATATTGGATTAAGAGGCATATTATGTGCTATGCATGGATACAATAAATATTGTAGGTATACAAGTTTGCATTTTTAAAAGTAATATTTAAAAAGAACGCTTTACATGTCTGATATTTTGGCAACAAACTCCCTCCATAGTGAACAAAATTTTTCTATTTTTAGCTTCTGTGACCTAGTTCTTGACCGAAGATGACCCATTTTCGAATTTAACCTAGAAATCATCAAAAAAACCTTTCTGATCAATTTCCAAGATATTTGGATCAAAACTGCAGCCACTAGAGTGTTAACAAGATTTTTCTCTTTTTAGCTCCTGTGACCTAGTTTTTGACCCGAGATGACCCATATCCAAACTTGGCCTGTATCTCATTGAGACAAACAAACTGACAAAGTTTGATTATGATCCAATCAAAACAGTGACTGCTAGAGTGTTAGCAACCCAAATGTTGATGAGGAACGACGCACAACTGTACATAGCCCCATCACTATAGTACCTCACCTTGACCCTTTCATGGTCAGGTGAGCTAAAAATCATAACAATTAAGCCAAAATTCAATAATTTGACATTCAAAGTCAAGGTCATACATGAAGAAATGTCAATTTGAGTTTGAAATTAGTGAAAGTCCTGACCTAAATATGTTGTGTCAAAATATGAATTTAATCCATTTGTAAATAACAAAGTTATAACTTAAGTTATTGTCTGGAAACCATGAACTAGACAGACTAAATGACCGAAAAGCTGACTCCTATATATCTTGGTTTGTGGGGGTATAATAAAAATTGGGACTGAAACTGGTGGTCTTAATAGTGGATAAATAAGGCAGCTGTCTTAATTGTGGATCATTTTACCATTGCAAAACAATAATATACTGATTGTATGAAAGATTTAAAGAAATAGAGAATATAATCATTACCAACCTCCAAACCATGGTATGGGGAATTTTTTCTCATCCACTTTCACAGTAAATTCTGCTCTTCCATCAAACTGGAAAAAAAAAAAAATTGCAACAGTTTCAACTTTTTCATACTTTGTTAAAAAAACATTAGATATTTGTTGAATACAAAATTAAATGCCATTCTATGACAGAATCTAAATCAAAATACTGCCAGTACAGATCCAGTATCTATCTTTTACTTTGTGGTAAATTTGCAACATCTTGAAATGTAATTATATCATTTTATAAGTCTTGGCTCTTTCTAGAAATTAATGGGCATAATGGCCCTTATATTGCTCACCTGATTATTGAGGCTCTTAATAAATATTGTTGGCAAAGAATGAAAGGCAGATAAAATGTCATTTACTTAAAATGATCTCATAAAATTCACAATATTATGTGCACCCGACAAATAGTGCAAATGTTAAAAAGTATTTCCATATATGCTTTTTTATGTACATGACCTTTTTTACCTCAGGTGGCCCATATTCAAACCTGAACTAGAAATCATACAAACAACCTTTCTAACCAATTTTCCAGGACATTCAGGCTAAAAATGTAACCTCTAGAGTGGTAACAAAGTTTTTCCATTTTTGGTCTGTGTGAATTAGATTTTGACGATGGATGGACCCATGATCAAAGCTGAGCTAGAGTTTTTTCATATTTGGAAATCTATGGCCCCCAATGGTGTGGACAATTTTGACGCTAGAGGCAAACTTTGAACAACTTTATAAGAGGACATATAGATGAAATGTCAAAGCTCTAAGCCTTGTATCTTCAGAAAAGAAGATTTTTTAAGTTCTACTATATATACATGATAAAAATCAGTTACATCCAGGGCAGGACCAATTTTGACAACAGGACTATAATTTGAACAATTTTGGTAGAGGTCAAAGTGCCAAAAATCTAACTTCTAGCTTTTGTCAATTCAGAGAAGGTGAATTTTTGAATTTTTACGATATACATATAAGGAAAATAAATGACCACTTGGGCACGGCCAACTTGACTCCAGGGCTATAATTTGAACAATTTCATTAGATGAAGACACAAAATATGCAAGCTTTATTTAATTTTACCCATGAAATATGGTGTGATATCAGACAAATATATTTCATATTTTTTAAAAATAAATATGAAAGTGGGCGGAGTGGAAACTCATATTTATTTTAAGGGACTTCTTTCGCCATTTTGTTTGAAAAATCTGAGAAATACAAAACAATTTTTTGTTGAATTTTGTTTTGAAAACTATCTAGAATGATAAATCAAAGGGCTGCAGCTCTATGGTATTTTCTGATCTTTGCAATCTAAATATGTATGTACTTTCCTGTATAAGTTTATTTTTATATACTATAATTCATTTTACGCAGCGACAGCGTTTTGATTTTCTTCTATAACAGTTTGAGATTGATACATATGGAATTTTGCATGAAAAAAAAAAAAAAAAAATAGAATTGCCTCGACTAGGATTTGAACCATAGGCCTCTCACACCCTCAACGAGACCGCTTACCTCTGCACCACGGCGAAGTAATACATATGTACCTTGAATAAAAACGAATACATTATGTTATTCTAAATTGAGAATTTCCATTTCGTGTTTGCAATCCTTATCAATTTCGAGGTATTTTGTTCACGATAAACCTGTTGTTTAACACTGATGAAAATAATTTAGCGAAAATCTTCTCGCCAAAACAGTCCGACATGTATATATTCCACTACTCGACAGTCAGATTTATTTGTGTACTACGCTCTGGAGTATTCGGTAATCGACATATCTAAAAATAGCATTTTCATTGATCATGATAATCCGAAGCTTTACGGAAATAGCCGAACATTTTTCATTGGGTAAAAAAGATATGCATCCGCGAAATTTGTGATTGTAACCTCATATTTCTATTGACTAATCTAAACTTTTAATGCACTGTAATTCGTTAAATGCCTACATTAAAAATTATTCTTTCTTTTAAATTGCTGGTTTTAAGCAGTTTTGAGTGCGAACTACTTTGCGTTGTTAGGACTGTTAGGAAATTTTGTGTTAGACCGCGGATGTTAGCTATGTATTTACTGATCTTACGATCAGAAAATACAAAAATGGTCTAACTAAGAAAATAAATCCGAACACCAGGCTGTCGACCAGGTCTTATCCAAAATAAAGGAGGAATATAGGAATATTTTAGCAGGAAATATAGGAGTTTTTGGACCATTTTGAGGCAAAAAATAGGAGTTTTCAACTTAAATTGTTTACATTACTAATGCTTATATAAATGTAAATTATTCTTACCTTTACACATACTGTTTCTACAATAAAATGTCTACTAGGGTTTCTTAATCGGACAAAAATCATAATTGATCATCGAAAATAATCGAACAACCCTTTTCAATCAATCATCGATTATATAATTGAAACATTTACAATAACAATGTACATATCATACTTTAATATTTATAAGAATTCCATTAATATTCTATATTTTGTGTAACTACCACTTAATTAACTGAAATAAACTAGTTACTCATGCTATGTTCATCCTTGAGTAAAATATTTAAATCAAATAAATTCATTACATCTATGAAATTATTATGTCTCAATTCGAATAAAGGAATGAATAAACTATGTATGGGAACAAGAGAAGTTGGTCATTTCTTAACGAAACTGCCAGTTTTTTTTAATGACACTATATATTGATATTGTAACCATCTTTAGTTTGTAGAATAATTTTATACACAAAATATCTTCTTTGTTTGAAGTCAAAACATGTTTATTTCATATTTACAAATAGACTGTGAAGCAATTTTCTAATGTCAAATTGGAGCATAGTATGTCTTTAAACTAGAATGCCTCACTGTCAGTTATTAACCTCATGGTCACCAGTATGCTTTCCATTCATTTTAATGAAAATTATTAGGTCAATCAAAGCTGGCTTTAATTTAAAGTGTTGTTATAATACAGTGAGTCACTTAAGTAACAGCAAGAAGATAAATTACCAATAATTGATTATTGAACTTTGTATTCGATCATCGCTGATCGGTCCTATAAACGATAAATTATCGATTATACTCGATCATCGTTTAATCCCTAATGTCTACCATATAAGTGAAGGAAACCATTAGCTTTAAACCACAGCATCAGCATCCCGGCAGAAAGTTACAGCAATGCATGACCATCATCTGAATGGTCACCTGAAATAAAGTTGACATACTGATGCACTGCTTTTCATGGTGACCATGCAGATGGCTATGAGGAGCACAGCAGCCTTGAGCATAGTAATGTGATGCTGATGCAGGCATATACATTCTCTTACCTGTAAAATACAAAAGGCCAAAAGCAAAACCAAAATTTAAATCTCTTTGAATTCATCGGCAATATATTTTTTAAAAAATATAGGAAAAATATTCAAAATATAGGAGAATATAGGAAAAATAGGAGGTTTTTTTTAAATATAGGATTCTGACCCAAAATATAGGAGTTTTATAGGAATATAGGAATTGGTTGACAGCCTGGAACACCAATACCTTTAATTCAGTTATTAACACTGTATAGACGTTTAAAGAGTTGTTTACGTGACGTCACAATGTAGCGCCAAATATCGCGTGCAAAACAAGACGCAATTATATATTACTGCGCGCTGTACAGTAGCAGTTGCGTAGCAAGCAATGGGGTTTGTTATCATTTTTCTTTGATAATGAAATTAAATAAAAAGGTTATTTTTTCGTTTTTCATGAAATATGGTATGAATTTTCACTCAACATGATAAAATGCCACATATTTTCACTTGCTGTCCCAGCTCGTGAAAATATGTGGCATTTTATCATGTTTCGTGAAAATATATTCCATATTTCACTCAAACGAAATATCCTCTTACTATTCTGCCATGTTCATAGAAAATATCACATAAGTGTTGGTACAAAACAGATACTCACAGCATCAATACTCCACGCAACGTCTTCATCATCATTAAATCTGAAGGGACCGGTTAACTTAATTTGTGCTCTACCCTGAACATTCTTACCATAGGAATATCTAAAAAATATACCAAGTTTGATAAATTATATAATGTTTAGTTTAATCACCTAACAGATAGAATTTCAGCTAGATGGGAATGATAGCTTTAAGATAATAAAGACAAGAAATGTCGAACAACACATATGCCCCCCTTTCTAGCCCTTGACTCACATTATTGGTAATTTTGTTAGAGAAACTTGCGATAAATGGGTACATTGAAGTATTCAATTAAGGAAAAAAGAAAAATAATGAAGACTTTGCAATGAATAGTTTTCAAGATAATGAGACATTTAAGGCCCCTGTGACCTGACCTTTGACCTAGTGACCACAAAATCTAAAGGGGTCACTTACTAGTTATGACCAATCTATATGTGAAAGATGAAGACTTTGTGATCAATACTTTTCAAGATAATCAGCAGAAACCATTCTGACATTTAAGGCCCCTGTGACCTTGACCTTTGACCTAGTGACCCAAAATTCAATGGGGGTCATCTACTAGTTATAACCGATCAATATGTGAAATATGAAGACTTTGGGATGCATAGTTTTCAAGATAATCAGTGGAAACCATTCTGACATTAAAGGCCCCTGTGACCTTGACCTTTGACCTAGTGACCCCAAAATCAATAGGGGTCATCTACTGGTTGTGACCAATCACTATGTGAAATATGAAGACTTTGTGATGAACACTTTTCAAGATAATCAGCAGAAACCATTTTGACATTTAAGGCCCCTGTGACCTTGACCTTTGACCTAGTGACCCCAAAATCAATAGAGGTCATCTACTAGTAATGATCAATCACTATGTGAAATATGAAGACTTTGTGATGAATTCTTTTCAAGATAATCAGCAGAAACCATTTTAACAATTAAGGCCCCTGTGACCTTGACCTTTGACCTTGTAACCCCCCAAATCAATAGGGGTCATCTACTAGTTATGACAAATCACTTTGTGAAGTATGACGAGTCTGTGATGAATACTTTACTTGATAATCAGCAGAAACCATTTTAACATTTAAGGCCCCTGTGACCTTGACCTTTGACCTAGTGACCCCAAAATCAAAAGGGGTCATCTACTAGTTATGATCAATCACTATGTGAAGTATGACAACTTTGTGATGAATACTTTTCAAGATAATCAGCGGAAACCATTTTGACATTTAAGGCCCCTGTGACCTTGACCTTTGACCTAGTAACCCCAAAATCAATAGGGGTCATCTACTAGTTATGACCAATCACTATGTGAAATATGAAGACTTTGTGATTAATAGTTTTCAAGATAATCAGCGGAAACCATGTGGTCGGACAGACCGACCAACCGACAGACCGACCGACAGACCAACACTAGCAAAACAATAAACCCCCTCTTCTTCGAAGGGGGGCATAAAAATACTACCTTTTTTACAGGAAGAGTTAGAAAGAACTACTATAATGATTGCTGAAGAGAGGTATATGAGAGAAATTTTCACAGAATGCTAAATATAAGCACCAGTAGGACAGTTGAAGTGGAATGTAACTAACAGAAGATAATAAACCATCTGAATAGGTCAAAATGAGTAGTGTTCTCTTTTATATGTAATTTTTAAGGCCATTCAAAGTGGCAATGACAGCTATGGCAGCTAATGAACATAAAATTTAACAAATAACAAAACACAATTAATGCCCCATGGTCAGATTCTTGTCAGTAACAATTTAAAAAAAAAAAGTTTACCCATTCACTCAATTATTGACAGAAAATTTATACAGTTATATAACTTGACAAGGTCATGACGTTTTTGTTATTGTGAAAAATATAAGTTGGCATGTCATTGCTTTGTGATGAAGTTGAAAAAAATTCAACTTACTGTTAAAAATTTATCAAATATATATAAATGCAAGACCTTGGCCTTGAACCCAGTGACCCCCCCCCCCCACTCCACCAAAACTTAATGGATCACCTGAAGTATTTTCCTTCTAAATAGGAGACATTGGTAAACATAAATACAAAGACTGTATAAGAAAGTGTAAAACATCTATTGTTAGCAAAAATGATGTTGACCTTGTGACTCCCAACACTGGACCATCCAAGGTATGCTCCAAATATGAATAAGTTAAAATCCTTCAATGCAAAAAAGTCACAGTCTGGACACAAATGTGTACCTTTAAACTCTTCTTGTGAGAATGAGTACTAAGACCTTGACATTGGAGGTAGGGACATGGTGAAATGTGAAAATTCAAACTATAAGTGTGATCTTGACCATGGAGGTAGGGATATGGGTCTTAAATGTGGCACATCCTCATGATGTAGACATAAAAATCCATCAAAGGATATCTAAATATATAACAATCCATCTAAGGACATCTAAATAACAATCCATCTAAGTACATCTAAATAACAATCCATCTAAGAACATCTAAATAACAATCCATCTAAGAACATCTAAATAACAATCCATCTTAGGATATCTAAATAACAATCCATCTAAGTACATCTGAATAACAATCAATCTTAGGATATCTAAATAACAATCAATCTAAGTACATCTAAATAACAATCAATCTTAGGATATCTAAATAACAATCAATCTAAGAACATCTAAATAACAATCCATCTAAGAACATTTCAATAACAAGTTTGAATTATCTTTTGTTTTTTCAATTTTTTTTATAGCTATTGGCTACTGGAACAGGTGGAACTTTAATGCTTTTAATAGTATCAGGGAAAGTCTGATGGTAAAATCGGGAAACGGACAAAAGCCCTCCCGGACAAAAGCCCTCCTGTCAAAAAATAAGAGCCACTGCCGACCGGGGGCAACACTCGACTTTTTACTTTTTCTAAAAGCAAACAAAGAAATGTTTGAACAAACCATAATGTTTCCTTTTTATAAATTTAATCGGTCTGTCTTGTCACATTAGTTTTGTCAAAGTATGAATCCTTTCCATATATATCGGCATGTCTATTTCAGAAGAAAAAATAAACAAAAAAAAAATATATAAATTATTTTCACAAGAGGGCTTTTGTCCGCCAAGTCATTTTTAAGGGAGAGCTTTTGTCCACCTTGTCATTTTCAAGGGAGGGTTTTTGTCGGCCTTGTCACTTTTTTACGGGAGGCTTTTGTCCGGGAGAATTTTGTCCTACACTCCGTAAAATCCCCAATATGATTATGATACTAATCTCCAAAATGGATATATTCTCCACAATCATGATAACTGCCATAATAATTGCCAAGAACAGGGAAAGATAGAGGGTAAAAATATGGCTAATAACCCCTGCACTTCACCTGGGTGAAGTAAATGGGGTGCAATTGACTGCACAAGTGTAGCCAATCTACTGAGTTACAGCCATTCTGTTAAAACCAAAAACAAACAAGAAATGTAACTGAGTAACCAATTTCCTCCTCCTTCAAAGGAAGTTTTACATGAAGCACAAAATTGTGCAATTTCAAAAGATTGAGGAATCGATCTGGACTTTCAGTGCAAAATTTTGATCAATGCTAGATTTGCACATGCCAGTAACAATAAATTCATTAAAGAAATATTATAAAATAACTGCTGTTGATGTGTCAACAGAAATACATTTGTATACCTGTTATCACTATTTCAAAGCCACAAAATGTGACAAATACAAAATCAATACAGGATATGGTCTGTTGTAGGGTAATACAGGATTATGGTCTCTTACAGGGTATATTTTATGTCCAGTCATCCGTCAAAGTATGTGGGCAATTCACCAGTGACATTTTATTTGCATGGGCCTGACTTGGCATGATACCCTATAACAGGCTTTTTTAGGCCTTGACCTCTTGAGGTAGAAGTAAGGTGTTGTGCATGGCATGTTGTCTTATTTATGATAACATTTGTGCCAAGTTATTTTAAAATCTCTTGATTGATGAAAAAGTTATACACCAAATAAAAATACCCTAGAACAGACCATGTTAAGCTTTGGCACTCAAATGTGACCTTGACATTGAAGGTAGGAATCTGGTTGTTGCACAAGACACATGGTCCCATTATTGTGAACATCTGTGCCAAGTAATTTCAAAATCCCTTAAACAATACAAAAAGTTTTGAACTGCACACAAAATATTCCCTATAAAAGACCATGTTAAGATTTGACATTTAAGTGTGGTCTTTGTTGTGCATGACACATTGTCTTAATATTGTCAACATTTATGCAAAGTATTTTCAAAATTCCTTGATGGAAGAGAAAGTTATGCACTGGAAACAAAATATCCCCTTTATCAGACTATGTTAATCTTTGACCTCCAACTGCAACCTTGACCTTTGAAGTAGGTGACTGGTGTTTGCACATAACACATTGTCTTATTATTTTGAACATTTGTGCCAAATAATTCAAAATTCCTGGATCTATGCTATGGACTGGACACAAAATATATCCAGTAACAGGCTATGTTAATCTTTGACCTCCAACTATGACCTTGACCTTGGGGAGGTGATTGGTTTTTTGTGCATGACACATCGTCTTATTATTGTGAACATTTGTGCCAAGTATTTTCAAACTCCCTTTATGGATAAGACAGTTATGGACCGGACACAACATAAACCCTCAAATAGACAATGTTGACCATTATTCACCAAATGTGACCTTGACCTTGGAGGTAGGGGTCCGGTTTTGGGCATGACACATTGTCTTATTATAACAAACATTTGTGCCAAGTTAATTCAAATTCCTTTGATAAATGACATTGTTATAGACTGGACATGAAAATGTGATGGACAGACAGATGGACAGACAGAGCCTAATTCTATATCCCCTTTTTTTTCTTCCAAAAGGCAGGGGAGAACAAAAGGTAAACCATACCAAAGATAAGGTTTAAACGTCAGGGGTGAAAACTCACAAAGATTTACTTTTAAATGTACAAGAAGTTTTCTCCCTTTAAAGCAAAATTTCAGGCCATCCTGACAATACATTAAAATTCCTAAAGTGTCAATTTTACCATATTCCCCTCTATAACCAGCTGGGCTTTATGAAAAACCTAAAACTACCGTCACATTTCTTCTTTCAATTTAATATATCTAATTTTTGACTTTGTTTTTCTACATCAAAACCGAATCTGTCATGTTTATAACTTGTATATAACTTGTATATAACTATAGCTCATGTTTTGGATTCCTGCATATTGATAATTGTAAACTTAACAGTTATTTTTATAATATAAAAGTGGTTGATTATTTTGATATTGCCATCTATTCATAAACAGAAGATATTGAATGAGTGTAAGTTCAATACTGAATTTATTGAACAAGTTGTTATATTATATGCCTCTGGTGAGCATAACATTATTTTATTCAACAAATTCAATAAATTCAGTATTGAACTTACACAAACATAATTTTCTATTTATCACGTACACAAAATAGAGTGTTTAAAGTGAAAAAGAATCATTTATGCAAAACGGTATTCAAAGCAACAAATATATATTAAACAAATGCTCATAATTCAGATTGGTTAGTTTGTATGGGCAGATAAAAAGGTTTAAGTTTGTATGGGCAGAAAATAAGGTTAGTATGTATGGGTAGATAATAAGGTTATATTGTATGGGCAGAAAATCAGGTTAGTATGTATAGGTAGAAAATAAGGTTAGTATGTATGGGCAGAAAATAAGGTTAGTATGTAAGGACAGAAAATAAAGTTAGTATGAATTGGCAGAAAATAAGGTCAGTTTATATGGGCAGAAAATAAGGTTAGTATGTATGGGCAGATAATAAGGTTAGTGTGTATTGGCAGAAAATAAGGTTAATATGTAAGGAATGATAATAAAGTTAGTATGAATTGGCAGAAAATTAGGTTAGTCTATATGGGCAGAAAATAAGGTTAGTATGCATGGACAGATTATAAAGTTAAGTTTGTATGAGCAGATAATGAGGATAGTATGTATGGGCAGAAAATAAGGTTAGTATGTACAAGAAGATAACAAGGTTTGTATGTACAAAAAGATAATAAGGTTAGTATGTATGGGTAGAAAATATGGGCAGATAATATGGAAAGCTTGTTTGGGAAGATAATAGTTAAGAGTCATTGTATGAGAGGAACCGGGTATCTTATTTTATATTTATTTATTTTTTTTTTTTGGTTGAGTTTAACATCGCACCAACAAAGTATAGGTCATATGGTAACTTTCCAGCTCTACTGGTGAAGGAAGACTTCCGGTGCCCTTCTGTGCATTATTTTAGGCAGGAGTAAGCAGGAACCTGATATCACTTGAACCTTGAAATAGGGTATATACATATACTGTGTTCTCTAAAACTAGAAATGTGCCCATAGGACACGGGTGCCCCAACCGGGCCACTGTTCTGTCAATCTTATGACTCTAGGTCAAATATTTTTTGAAAACTAAAAATCTTTTACTAAGTTAAGGGCAAGAACTTTACAAATACTGAATAAATCCACAAGCAAACCCCAAGGTGCATAAGTACACATGCTGACCAACATTCTTGTAAACTTTCAGGCCTACAAGTGAAATACTTTTTGAGCTATGCATGAACAAGTTGAAAATTGCAAATTTATACTACTGTAAGTCAAGGGCAATAACTCTTACAAAACTGAAAAAAAATCCACATGCAAAGTCCCAGGTTCATAGCTTCACAGTGAGGTGAATCATTATTCCTGTAATTTAGTGATGTTGATCATTATTCCTATAAAGTTGGTTGATTCTAACTGAAGCACTCAAGGAACAAATAACAACATAATGAAACGGTTTTTACTAAGTCAAGGAAAATAACTCTACAAACACTGGATAAATCCACAAGCAAAACCCCAGGTGCAAAACTAAATATGCTGAGCAACCTTCCCATAAGGTATAATGACTCTATGTCAATCCTTTTTGAGTTACATGCGACACAAATTGAAAATTGCCAAAAATTTCTAAGTCAAGGGCAATAACTCTAAAAATACTAAATAAATCCAGACGAAAATACCCAGGTGCACAACTACACATGCTGATCAACATTCCTGTAAGTTTCATGACTCTAGGTCAAATCCTTTTTTGAGTTACATGCGACAAAAATTGAAAATTGCAAAATTTTACTAAGTCAAAAGGATTCATATGAGTTATATTTAAAAGACTGATTTATGGGCTTTCAAATTGTAAATTTCATGCTGTGTAAATTCAATGGATCAGTAGCCTGATCTTATCTAGGTGATTGCACATTAGTGAATAGATCTATTTATTTATTGATGCACTTCTTTACTATAGAAATATATTTTATATAGCTTCCATTTACTTAAATCAATGTTGCATTCATGATCGAAGCATCCCTTAGTTCTTTTGTTCTAAACTTTACACAAACTGTTCATATAGACTGAAAACTAATTACATTAAACATGATCCACTGCAAAGCAAAGGCCCTAATTTTGTAAACAGATTGGAGGAAGAACATTGTTGTGAAGGTTTTTTTTAAGAAAACATTATTTTCTTGTACAAAATCTAATCAAAATTACATATCTGACCTTGACATTCAAGATCATTTACTGATCAAGGTCATACAAAATTCAATATTTCAGTTATTCAATATGTCAGAATTGTCAGTGTTGTTTTTTCCCTGGATATGGAAAAATTCTGTACATAAACAACAAATAAGATATGGCAATCTAAGCAAACACTTGACCATGACAGTCAATGTCACTTAAAGGTCAAGGTTAAACTTGAATAATTCAACATGTTGGTTTTGAAAAGTATAAATAAAATGATTAATTACATAACAAACTTATCATAATCAAGGCAAAACACATTAATTTAAGGGGGCGTCAGTGGCCGAGGGGTTAAGGTTGTTGACTTCAAACCACTTGCCCCTCACCGCTGTGGGTTCGAATTCTGACAGGGACTTTGGATTCTTACATGTGATGAAGCTATCCAAGTAGCTTACCAAACGTCGGTTATTCTACTCAGGTGCCTGTTCGGGCCTGAAATAATGCACATTATAGCATAAAATCGGCTATTTTTCCCTCTTTTGCCCATGTTATAGTGGGGCCAAAACCATGCACTAACATAGTCACGCGCTCTTGTTATAGCCCGGTTTTACCTATGCGCAATACATACAGGGCCCAGAAAACAAACAAAAAATGACGATTTGGCCTGTTTGCCAGAGTCATGCGCTATTGTTATATTGGGAGCCTCAGTCGCATAACAGCAAGCAGCATTCAAGTAATTATGCCGGCAATACGGCGTATAGACATCACCCCTTATCTTGGTTGTCGCCCTTTCTTAGAAACGGACAGTTGTCAATGTAAACAAATAGAATCTGTCATTCAGTTTAATCCCCCGATTAACTTACAAAAATGGAAAGCACAAAATGAATATAAGAAAACGTTGTTTTATTGACGTTTATATTGATAAATGTTCTGTATGTTTCTTTGAGAGAATAATGTTTTATGCCTGATTTTTTTCAAATTCTGAAATTGAATTTGATGTCACTGATCTTTTTCCTACCGCCAATCTGTAATCATTCTAGGAATTTCTGAGGCGCCTGTTTTGTCTTTGGTAGAGTAATGTTATGTTTTTCTAAAGTTAATATATCTCCAAAGTTAAACTTTGTTAAATCAATTAAAATTCGAAATTTCGTTCTTGTTGGCCCCGGAAAAAATAAAACACATACGTAAAACATGTAGAGGTGGATAAACACCGTTCAAGCACAAGGATTTAATGTATGTGTTTATATAAAATATACATCATGAATCTGTTAATTTTATGCTATAATAGCGTCAACGCACGTTTATTTCGTGTTATAACGTCTGCAGAGTCCCTCGGAACTGTTGGAGCCCTCGCCCTACCGGGCTCGGGCACCAACCGTTCCTCTGGACTCTGCAGACGTTATAACACGGAAAAACGTGAGTTAACCCTATAAAAGGGCACCTGGGGTCTTCCTCCACTAGTAAAGCTGGAACGTCGCCATATGACCTATACTGTGTCTGTGTGACATAAAATCAAATCAAAGAAACAAACAAACATTAATTCAACCTTCATGGTAATAGTCATTAATTGTCAAAGGTCAAAACAAAATTATTCAACATTGGCCAAATATGAATCAAATTCTGAAACATATACGAAAGTTATCATAATTTAAGCTATGTTAAATAACTTTTGACTGTCATGGTCATTTTAAGGTTAAGGTCACATTGAAAATATTCAGCATGTTGGTTTTGTCATATGTGTTGGTTTATCAAAGCTGCTATTAAAAAAATTAGCAAGATGACAATTTTTGCAAAAAATAATTACATTTATTAGTGCTTGAAAGTCAAAAGGTTCTTTAGTCCAAATATGAATCAAATCCAAGTTATTGCCAATTTTAGCAAAATTTAATCATTAGCCCTGCTTTGTCAAGGTCATTATGAGTCACAGCAAAATCAAGCAAAATTCAAATATTTGACCTTGATGAGGTCATTTATGATGAGTCACAGCAAAATCAAGCAAAATTCAAATATTTGACCTTGATGAGGTCATTTATGAGTGAGGGTCAAGTTTAGTTTGGTCTACTTAAAAGTCTTGTCTTAACTGTTGTTTATCAAAGTATGAATTCAAGTCATTAAGTAATAACAATTAAAAAAAAATATGATCAATGACAACAAGTCAATGATTGTAGCAATAGCTTGAACTTTTTCTTAAATACACTGTGACTTTGGACAAGTTATTAATAAACCTCTTGAATGTGTTGAAACATGAAACACCATACCATTGCATACATGAGCATATCAATATATTGTCAACAAAAATCAACATAAGCTGCTTACATTCCCTTGATAACTCCTTTTATCTCATCATTTCCAGAAACAAGGAATTGTGTTTCAAGCTCTATCTTTACCTCAAACCGTGGAAGAACTAGAAAAATGTAAGAACAATAAAATATGAATTATGACTAATCTCTTGAGTTTTCAAAACAAAAACAAAACACGGAGGGGGGAGGGGGGCATTGGCTCCAAAGTGTTCACCTAAGAACCGACTGTTGTTTGTAAAATAGCAGTGAAAGCAAAGTTCAATCCTACATCTGAAACTGTGCACATGGTTCAAATTTAATAGCAATAAGAGCTGTCGGTAGGACAGCAACGCTAGACTATTCACCGACGCTCTGGTGACTACAATAGCTCTACTTATTCTAATCGAATAGTCGAGCTAAAAATGTAGGTCTCTGTGTCCCCTGGGGCAGCGCAAATTTTGACCCCAGTTGAAACAATCTTGATACAGGTCCACCAGACAATTTTTCACGCTCAAGCATTCGCCTTTTCAAAAAACATTTTTTAATTTTTGTTTAATGTCTATAAACAGTACTCATGACCTCGGGGGTGGAACTTATTTTGTCCCTTGGGCCAGAAATTAAACAATCTTTGTAGAGATCCACAATGTTTCATGCCAAGCCTTTGAATCTTCAGATGTTATTTTGCCTATAAGATTGTACCACACTGATATATGTAATGAAAATGTACCCCCCCCCCCAATACAGGGCCAATTTCGACCCCAGGGCCATAATTTGAACAAACTTGGTAGAAAACAACTACACGATGTTTCATGCCAAATATCTAACCTCTAGCATTTGTCATTTCAGAGGGGATTTTTTAAAAAAAAGTTTTTACTATATACATGTAATGAAAACCCATGACCCTGAAATGGGGCCATTTTTTACACTAGAGGCATAATTTTAACAACTTTGATAGAAGTCCACTAAACGATGTTTCATGCCAAATATCTTTTTTTAAAAATATATTGTTTTAAACTAGAGAAAATTAAGATTTTAATTCAACTTCTCAGCCCTTCACTGGCCTGTGTATAACTGAAAAGTAGACATTTTCTAACTGCGTATCTGGCCCTTTTATAGTTTTATCCGGGTGTTTAACAAAAATGTTAAACCAACTTTGAAACAAATGCTGAATAGAGGGTCATAAAAAATGCTCCTTTTTTTTTCTTTGGATAGTGGAACTTAAAGTTAAGGCCAATCTATTTTGCATTCAATTATCAGATGAACATACGAAAGTTTTTTCTTTATGTATAAAAATAATAATAAATTTATTCTATAAAATATTAATATAAATTTCTTTGCCGTTATCAAAGAGTATAATGACGTAAGAAAACAAAAATTACCAAATTCTTTCACTTCAAATTGTCTCTCTACATATCCTTCCTGCAATATGAAACAGACATAATAATATTTTATTATTTGGTCCAGTGACAGGATTATATCTGTAAAATCATTACAAATACAGGCAGACAGACCCATTTGAGGAATTTCTGTAAAAATTCTTTATCCTAACAACTATGCTATACATTTAAATAAAATAAAAACACTTTTGAAATGATTCATCTAGATGAATAAAAGCTCCAAGAGAACTATAAAACAAGAGCACCACAAAAGCAGGCCAATATTCACTTGAATGTAAATTTGTTTGATTAATATTTGGTACATGTCATGCGGCAACTTTCCAGCTTTACTGGTGGAGGAAGACCTTAGTTGTAGCTCTGTACATTATTTCAGGCACAAACAAGCACCTGAGTAGAATCACCAATGTTTGGTCAGCTTGCGATAGCTTCCTCACATGTAGAACCTACAGCAGTGAGAGGCAAGTGATTTGAAGCCAATAAGCTAAACCATTGACCAGACACCTCTATAATATTATTTATAAAGAAAAAGACCCATTCATGAAACAAATGTCCTTATTATCCTTAATGATACTAATTCAGACACCAGGTTGTGGGCCATTATTAACCTAAGGAAATTGATTAATGTCAGTTTTGTAGAGGTACATATACCAAATATCTAAACAAAGGCCATTGTAGTTTCACGCTTATTTGTGTTTATGTCTATATAAATCAAGTGACTCCTGGGTGTGGAAACAATTTTGATCAGTGGAAGCCCAAACATGTTCAGTGGAAGCCCAAACACCGGTTCTATATATTTTATCTCAAAAGATTTTTGGGCTTATAAAAACCAATGATTATTTGTGTGAAGAAAAAATATGAAACCATAATAACTTCTTATATTTTCTCAAGCTATTTTTTTGAGCATGACAATTTTTATGTAAACTCATAATACTCATTTGACTACCATCAATTGTTGTCTCCTAACATCCTTAAACCTTATACAGCAAAAAATGTTCAACTAAATTGATGTAACTTTAAACTTTTAATTGTCAGAGCATGAACTTTAAAAATGTCAGTGTGACCTTGACCTTCGAAGAAAGACGTACTTCTTGGAGGCGACACAATGAAGTGATGTGGTACACATTTGTGCCCTCCATGCATGACAAAGTTAAAGTCTGGACACAATTGTTGTGTGGACATGAGCTTTAGCTGCGATACATCGTCTTGATGTGATAGACATTTGTGCAGTTATTTTAAAATCCTTTAATGCATGACAAAGTGACAGTCCAGACATAAATGTGTATCTTCAAACTTTTCTGGAGAGAATGAGTACCTTCAAACTATAAGTCTTGGATGCGACATGTCATCTTGATGTGGTAGACATTTATGCCAAGTCATTTTAAAATCCTTCAATGCATGACAATGTAAGTTACAGTGCGGACATGAATGTGTGTACCTATAAACTCTAATTGTGATAATTGTTAGTGTGACCTTGAACTCTGAGGTAGGGATAAGATTCTTGGACGTGACGTATTGTCCTTTTTGCCAAGTTATTCTAAAATCCTTTGATGCATGACAAAGTTACAGTCTGAACACAATTGTGTGTATCTATTAATTTAATTGTGATAATGTGAAACTTCAAAATGTTAGTGTGACCTTAGCCTTTGAGGTAGGGACGTGATTCTTAAACAAGACACATCGTCTTGATGTGAGAGACATTTATGCAAATTTACTTTAAATTCCTTTGATATAGGACAAAGTAACAGTCTGGACATGAATGAACAAGGGGACTCACTTATGTCCGACTGATGAGGGATTAAGGGCCATTTCTATTGTTATTTTCTTTTGTTTAATAGAGGGCCATGGCCTCTTATTCGGTGGTTATGGAATAAATTCTATTGTTCTCTTTTGTTCTGTTTACAGTTAGATGGCCCTCTATTTCTATTCAGTCATGCAGACAAAGAGGTGGGATTTTAGTATGTTGCCCAGTAAGCCTAGAGTGTTTTTTAATGTTATTTTTCTTGCCTTTTCTGCATGTGACAACTGTGAAAACATAGTAGAACATTTACAATATGAATTTATCAATGTGTAACAGTATAAAGTATTTTATACAAACAATGATGTGACTTACATCTGTGTAGAGACTGACAGTATACATGCCAGTCAATGGATCATCAGACAGGGTGAAGTTTGTATCTATCAATGCTCTAGCATAACTAGGAAATCCTGAAACAAACATTTACATGAATATGTAATAACAATTATATATGCAGGAGTACAGACCCCAGACATGTCACCAGTCATGCCCTTATAAAGCTAATTTTGAAGCACAGAGTGGTGATTATTTATCTCCATGCAATTGTCATGGAGTATATATACTAACTGAAAACAACAATAATGTTGGTTTTTTAAATGATAGAAATTCAAAGAAATATATAAATAATTTTATACCAGAAATTCAAAAGCACAAAACTTATTGTTATTTAGTGAATTTACATATCTTACATAACATCAGTTTCAATTAATAAGATTGTCTAATTTCAAAATGATTAAATCAAATAAACCTATAAATGCTCCTTGATTATTATAATCTTAACTGGAAAAAATATGAAGTTTGATAAAAAAAAAAATAATAATAATAGTTTGGAAAATAAAGGGAAGTAAATACATATTACATGTATATTGAGAGGAAATATATTAATAAATTAATACATTGTAATCTCCCTTTGTAATATACACTTATATAAGAATTTTGAATGACTCAGTGTGACCTTGACCTGAGGTAGTCCAAAACTGCGCTCTGCACATTATCTCAGTATCATAAATATTTCTGACAAATAGATTTCATTCTATCAGTTTAAAAGTAAAAGAGCGGACACAAAATTTCAAAATTGATAGTGAGCTTGACCTGAGGAAGGTCAACCTGTGCTCTGCACATCAGCTCATTATGGTTAAAATTTCTGCCAAGTAGTTTGCATTTCCTTCTACCGGTTCAAAAGATATAGAGTATATATGCATTGACAAACAAAGCACAAATACACTGACAAACAAACAAAGTACACATACATTGACAAGCATACAACATACACAGACAAACATACAAGGCCACATACATGGACAATTAGACAAAAGACACATACACTGACAAACACATAAAGGACAAACACACTGATAAACATACAAAGGCCACATACACTGACAAACAGACAAAAGATACATACACTGACAAACAAGCAGATGACATATACACTGACAAACACATAAAACAAAGGACATAGATACTGACAAACAAACAAAGGTCACATACACTTACAAACAAAGGATACATACACTAAAACAAGCATAGGATATATAGACTGACAAACAAATAAACAAAGGACAAATACACTGACAAACAGACTAAGGACACATATACTGACACATAGAATCAAAGCACTGAATGTACTGATGGGGAGGCTATGAGAGAATGTTTCAGACTTAAAGTTTCTTTTCTTTTTGCTTAAAATATGCTACCAAAATAAAAAGATATGCACATTGCGCTATTTATCCTTACTGTTGTGTTCAACCATTCATATATATGGTTAATGTGGTTGACTATTCATTTTGTTAATATTCCAGAACATTTCATTGAGGTCTACATTCGGACTGTTAATCATACAAATTTTGAAAAACCTAAACTGTCAATAATAAATGACATACCAGCAAGTATGACGACTGTTCATTATCAGATAACAATAACATTTTACAACTGACGGTTCCTTATCAAAATATTCTAGGACTGTTCATCATAAATACTTTATGTCATTTTAATATTATTGAATGATAATAACAACTGCAAGTGATGCAACATTTTTATTGAACATAAAAATTATACACGTTTAGATGTACCATAATTGAGATCAATAAGATACTGTCTTGTAGTGAGTATTAATATTCATGCTCTACGGACAGAAGGTTGTCTTCTCCAGAAGCAAATCTCGAATAAAATCACGTTTCAGAAAATTATTCCCATTTCATTACTGACGGCGTCGGATAATATTAAAGCTAAATATTTCTTGAAAAAATACATATCTGCAAAGCTTATTCAAAACTGAATCAACCTAAGTGAAAATTGATCAGGAAGTTATATCTTCTTTTTTTACCGCCAACACTCAACCAACTTATGGTAGTTAATCGATAGATTCTACGTGTATTTTTAAACCTCACTAGCTTGAAATATATACATGTACTGCGGAAAATCTGTTGTTAACAGGGTGTGCGGTTATTACGTAGGGTTTTCCCTGTCGACCATTTCCCGCAAATAGATGAGAACATCGAAGCCGTCAGTGCTATGAATGGTGTTATAAATGGCGTGTTTTGGAAGTTTTTGTTGAAACTTCTCCAATTTCCTCCAGAGGCGTGCACGTCGCGGAGAAGGCACACGGAAGGTCATAGTCAAGTCATCATAAGTACCAGAGGTGATTGGTTGACCTGTCGTGACTTACTCTGGAGGTTTGGCGCTAATAGATGCCGTTTTTGTTGTCGTCAGTCAGAAAGTTGATGCCTTGACGGTATTGTCGTCTCCTTTACCACCAAAGAACGAAGAATGGGCTTCCAGGAAGAATCTGCTTGAAAAAGACGTCCCAGATGCTATAATCTCGGACATATGGTTATTCCGACGCCGAGTATAAATAAACTTAAAACACACTCACTTTTGTTGAAAACAAAACAAAAAAATAACAACACATTTTCTGTAGTAATTTTTCAAGTGTTGTAAAATGAATAAGAAATTCCTCTTATGCCGCAGATTATTTTTAGAACACAAAGATAAAAGTTCTTTTTTTTTTATTTTTCAAATAAACATTAATCACTTCAGCGCGCGCAAATATCGTTTTCAAATTAAAGTTTCGTAAGATATGTTAATGACTTCCCGATGCTCGACTGTAAGTAATTTGAATATGTATGCGGTTTTTTTTTTGTTCTGTTTTTTTTTGTTTTTTAATTAAAGCTTCTTATTCTTTAATATTTTTATGTATCTCATAATCTGTATTGAAAATTTGAATTTTATTACACATGGACTATCAAATTATGATGTATGCCCTAGAATTGAATAAACTTTCTAATTACACAATACGGGGTCATACTGATCTTTGCGTCTTTCTCTGAAATAATTATTTCCTTGTTAAAACATATTTGACCGCATATTTCTGTCAATTAACTGTTCACTTTACTTCCGATTTTTGTTGTACGGAAACACATGTTTCTATCTGTGTTTTCTAATCAATTCGAATCTATAATCAGTTTAATGGGATCACCACCGGGTAAACGACTACTAGGTACTTTGGTCATGTTTTTTACCCCAAATATTTGAATGTTTCTATTGGGATTAAAATGAGCATAGTTAAGTAAACAACTGGTTGTATAAATCCCTGACCTGTCTAATTCTAATTATGAGATCAGTGAATATATAAGACTTTCACTACAAAATATTCCTAAACAAAAGAGCACATGTTTAAATTTATTCCTATACAAATAAAAGATCAGAGTAGGGATCTGTCAATTGCCAAATATACTTTTATGTTAAAAGTTTGATTAATGAATTATGTAAGATGAAAATATAAGTATTGCTTTTTTATTTTGCTAATGTAAAATGTAATATTGTGCTGGAATTTTGTCGGAAGGTCCTTAATTATAGGGGTTTTGTAGTTAAATAGTTTTTTTTTCGGCGATAATGGTTCAAGAATATAAAGTTTTCAAACTATATGTTCATCACCATCAGTGAATTTTTAGTTAAATGTATGCAAAATATTTACTAACAGCTATATGATATAGCGGTTTATGACCGTTTTCCGCGTACAGCCTCCTGGGGTGTACTAATAAGTTAGTTTTCCTTAGTTATCACGCAAGCATGATCCATGTCTCTGATGTAAGCGACAGTTTACAATTATTTGTCTTTAAAAAATATTAAGGACTTTTAATGGTTTATAACAACAAAAGAACATGCATGATATTGAGAATACGGCATTGTATATACACCGGTCTCAAATATCGTCAGTAAGACCAGTGTACACAATGGAGAATACGGTGTTGCAACGTTCTAGTTAATGACCCGTCATAAACAGTTGGTCGCTGCGTAGTAATTGGAAAATTGTTATCAAAAATAATAAAGAATATTTGCCACTAAATTAAAGCATTTACTTATAAATTTTCATTTATGCTTTTTGTTAAAAAAATATTGATAAAGTTATTATTTTGAAGGGTTTTCATACCAGAACTATTTATTACAGACGTACGTATGCCTAAACCTGATTACCGCGGCAGTATGACGTCACGGAGTAGTGATTTAAACAAAAATCAAGAATTTTTCAGAGAATTATTATCTTTACAAATTGCAGATATGAAATTAAAGAATGAAAATATTTTCATATTGTAAATGTCTGTGATGAGTGATGAGTCAGCTTAGAAAAAATCAAGGTACTATTTTTTGACCTGATTACCGCGGCAGTAAGATTTGACGGACAGTTATTAACATTGGGTCGGCATAGCCTCCCCAAAAATAACTCAAGATTGTTAAACCGACAAAGTATAAAGAAACTGACAAACAGAGAAAGGTAACATACACTGACAAACAGACAAAGGTATCATATACTGACAAACAGACAAAGGTATCACATACGGACAAACAGATAACAGTAACATATACTGACAAACAGACAAATGTAACATATACTGACAAACAGACAAAGGTAACATATACTGACAAACAGACAAGAAAATATACACTGACAAAACAGACAAAGGTAACAAAAACTGACAAACAGACTAAAGACACACATACTGACACATAGAAAAAGAACTTGAGATTGTCAAACCGACAAAGAATAAAGAAAATGACAAACAGAGAAAGGTAACATACACTGACAAACAGACAAAGGTATCATATACTGACAAACAGATAATGGTAACATATACTGACAAAATACAAAGGTAACATATACTGACAAACAGACAAAGGTAACATATACTGACAAACAGACAAAAACAGATACACTGACAAAACAGACAAAGGTAACAAAAACTGACAAACAGACAAGAACATAAACATTGACCTTGAGAGGTACAAACATTAACTTACCAGTTTTAAGATTATTTGATGAGGTCTCCTTCATTATACTGTTCTTTTTACTGTCCTAGAAATATATCAAAGCCATACAGGGCCTCACATAAAAAGTGTAAATTATCCATAAAAAACGCATTTAAGAATGAAAATTAAATTTCATACAATATTCAAACTATGCACTGAACAAAATTTCTCTCACATAAAAGAAAACATAACTAAATCAACAACCTTCATTCACGACATTGTCTTAAGGCCATACAAGCGCCTGACTGTAACTCTACATAGTTTGGACTTTTGGTAAGTAAAGTATGTTAGTTCAATTTGCACAATGCCATATAGACCTGGTGAATGTTCTTGTCAAATACTCAGACAACTGACTTGTAATTTCAAGCTCTCAACTGTTTCCTAAGGTCATAATTAATAAAACAATTGACATAGCCACCTATGAACAACATCAACATATCTAGGCCTTTAATTTCTTCAAATTCTGAGGAACTGTCAAATCAATGAACCATTAATGTCAACGATTTATGCACATTAAGATGGATGCTTATTATGCTTTAAATATCATAAGAAAAATGCATAGTTTACATGGTGAAGAGCCATAGAAGGTAACACCATGCCATGTAGTCCAAAATAGCAAAAGAAATTACTTTTTGCATTTTCAAATTGTTGCTGTTATGTATAATACATTTTATGCAATATGAAATGAAGGAACAAATAACAAATTAAAGATTTTACTAACTTTCATAAATATTCAAGACCCAAAAATGATACCAAATTCAAATTTAAAGTTTTTTACCAAACCATAAAAAATTCAGAAAGTAAATACTCATTGCTCTTAAAATCATCTGGAGCCCTGAAATAATTAATCTTTTTCTGATGAACTGGTAGTAAATATGTCTCCAGAATCAACAGTTTAAACATAACAGACTGATTTGGGAAACTACCTAGACAATGCAAAGTAGCTCTGTAAATAAAATCATTTTGTAAAGAAATAAAGAGACAATCCTTATATACATTCCATTATGACTTATAGAAAACAATTCATTATTGCAAATAGTTTCTACTACACTAACATAAGTTTTAGCTTGATAACAGAGTATATTCAAATGTATAAATGAAAGGAGATTAAAATTGTTAAATTAACTCTTGATATTTCAAGTATTTAGAAAAAAAATCTATATCCTAATTCACAGGGGGAGGAAGTGTTACACGAAGGATGGAGTTCTTATGATAACTTGTTCAGGAGTTCTTGTGATAAGTGTCACGGAGTTCGTCGGAAAACATCTGTATATACTACAAAAACACTCGTAGAAAAATGGTTATTTACATCGTTCAAAAATAAGTTTAGGTGCTAAATTAAACTTTAATGATTAAGCTTGTCTTACATCTTGCATTATATATAAAAAACTAATTCACAGGCCATTTTTAATCAACTCTTGCTTCAAATCTGGTAGTTTTGAGTAAAATTTCCAAATTACTTGCCAATTCACAAGTATTGACCTGTTTATTTCTGGTCTTCATCCTTGCTATACATAATTACCTAATTATAATGCAAAATTGCAAACATAAAGCACCAGCTAACAGATTTATACCCGGTTTTTCAAATGTCCCGGAGTTCTTGTGATAACTCTAAAGATGTCACAGAGTTCGTATGATAACTTTTGTTATTGCCAGTGTGTTTCTTGCGCTAAATAACGGCACGTTTTGACGTTTATTATCATTCAATAAGATTTTAATCATTATGAAATGCAGTACGCTCATCCTTTGCACAAAAATGTGGACAAAACGTTGGTTTTAAGTGTCTGCAAAGGATAAATAGGTCATCTACAGTAAACATTGAACCAGCGGCCACTGATATTCAGCAGTATAATGGCTTATTTTCTTGTCCTTCGGGATCATTTATGCCAACACTATAAAGTGTTGAGAATTGAGTACCGCTCAAGCCAGTGCTAGGGGGCCGTGAGGGATGTTGCACTAATACAGTATCCCTCATGTACAGACTCAATCAAACCGAGTCTGCAATTCTTATGTTATTTTGTTGTGATTAATGCTTCCGAGGGATCACTTTGTTTCCAGAATTTTACACCACAAAACAAAAATGTCTCAAAACGTACACGCTGTTCTCAGTTCCTCATGTTTTAAGCAACCACCTTTCTTAAGCAGACAATATATAGGCATGCTTCCCTTACCTAAGGGCTAAGTAATTTGTATCATTTTATACCATAATAAATAAGTATATAACCAGGATAATTTCCACACCTATGTCTTAAAAAAGTACGATACATGATAAAAACTCAACTGCGGCGAGCTCTAACTACCGATCTCTCGAACAAATTTGAACTGTCCCTCCAGGTTCCAGTTTTACCTAGAATGGGATTTCAGTTCTTGTGCATGGGCATAAAAAACAAGAATTCCCCAGGTGTTGCTTGTAAGTGTCGCAAGTTTTCTAATGTAACTTAAAACAACAGACAAAACTTTGAAACATATTAATCGCTGTACTATAACTGCTGTTTTACATAGAAAACAAATGTTTCTCAGATTGATGCCGTAATATAGATGCTTAACTGAGAAAAAATAGATTGTAAGTCCGGATGAAAGTGATAAAGGGCCAGAAAACTGCTAGGCGCCGGAAACTGCTAGGAAACCAGTACATAAATCCTTTTTCCAGTCTACGAAATCTGCGTCAAACAAAAAAATACCATGAAAAAGATACCGGGGTAAGAAATAATATCTCTTGAACTAAAATTTACTCAAAACCAACATTATATATCTTATTTTTTGCGCAAAGGATGAGCGTACTACATTTCATAATGATTTACAATCTCATTGAATAACAAAAAACGATAAAACGTGCCGTGATTTAGCGCAAGAAACACACTGGCAATAATTTAAGTTATCATAAGAACTCTGTGACATCTTAAGAGTTATCACAAGAACTCCGGAACATTTGAAAAATCGGGTATAAATCTGTTAGCCGGTGCTTTATGTTTGCAATTTTGCATTATAATTAGGTAATTATGTATAGCAAGGATAAAGACCAGAAATAAACAGGTCAATACTTGTGAATTGGCAAGTAATTTGAAAACTTTACTGAAAACTACCAGATTTGAAGCAAGAGGCGATTAAAAATGGCCTGTGAATAAGTTTTTGACACATAATACAAGATGTAAGACAAGCTTAATTATTGAAGTTAAATTTAGCACCTAAAACTCCTTTTGGAAAGATGAAAATAACCATTTTTAAAAGAGTGTTTTTGTAGTATATACAGATGTTTTCTGACGAACTCCGTGACAGTTATTACAAGAACTCCTGAACAAGTTATCATAAGAACTCCATCCTTCGTGTAACACTTCCTCCCCCGTGTAATTCTAACAACTTTTAATATTGTTGATAATTTAAATACATATGTAAATGTAATATGCTGTATTCTCAGTTCAACTTGTAACATAAACTCTTGTAGTTCTATTATTTCAAATAGGTCTATAACATTCCTGTTTGAACTGTTACATTTAATCAGATTTGAATATGATGAGTGGCAAGTTTTAGACCCCCTCTGTTGTATAATACAGGATATATAATTGTTCTGTTTACCTTTATTTCAATGGTAGCACTTGTACTGGTAGGCTTCAAATACATGTCACATGTCAGACCTCGTATAAGAACTGAAATTAAAGAAAGCCAAATCAAAGATTCTCAACACAATGTCAGCTATATTCTAATGAGATAAAACAATCTTAACAGCCTTTGTGCTCCTTTTTTTCATCCAAATCCTGTGGTGTTTTTATGGATTTAAAGCCATAACTGGTGGAATGTACTTAAAGAAATTTAAAATCGTAAAATCACAGTTTTTTTCATATTCTAATGGTCATTGTGATGTATCCTTGTTATAGAGTTAAATGTAGGTTTAATGTGATGTATCCTTGTTATAGAGTTAAATATAGGTCTAATGTGATAAAAGCTTGTTAGAGAGTTAAATGTAGGTTTAATGTGATGTATCCTTGTTAAAGAGTTAAATGTAGGTTTATTGTGATGTATCCTTATTATAGAGTTAAATGTAGATTTAATGTGATAAAAGCTTGTTAGAGAGTTAAATGTAGGTTTATTGTGATGTATCCTTGTTATAGAGTTAAATGTAGGTTTATTGTGATGTATCCTTGTTATAGAGTTAAATGTAGGTTTATTGTGATGTATCCTTGTTATAGAGTTAAATGTAGGTTTATTGTGATAAAAGCTTGTTATAGAATTAAATGTAGGTTTAATGTGATGTATCCTTGCTAGAGAGTTAAATGTAGGTTTATTGTGATAAAAGCTTGTTAGAGAGTTAAATGTAGGTTTAATGTGATGTATCCTTGCTAGAGAGTTAAATGTAGGTTTATTGTGATAAAAGCTTGTTATAGAGTTAAATGTAGGTTTAATGTGATGTATCCTTGTTAGAGAGTTAAATGTAGGTTTATTGTGATGTATCCTTGTTATAGAGTTAAATGTAGGTTTAATGTGATGTATCCTTGTTATAGAGTTAAATGTAGGTTTATTGTGATGTATCCTTGTTATAGAGTTAAATGTAGGTTTATTGTGATGTATCCTTGTTATAGAGTTAAATGTAGGTTTATTGTGATGTATCCTTGTTATAGAGTTAAATGTAGGTTTATTGTGATGTATCCTTGTTAGAGAGTTAAATGTAGGTTTATTGTGATGTATCCTTGTTAGAGAGTTAAATGTAGGTTTATTGTGATGTATCCTTGTTATAGAGTTAAATGTAGGATTATTGTGATGTATCCTTGTTATAGAGTTAAATTTAGGTTTATTGTGATGTATCCTTGTTATAGAGTTAAATTTAGGTTTATTGTGATGTATCCTTGTTATAGAGGTCTCATGTAGTGTTTAGTGTTGGATATGTGTAGTGTTAAGAGTGTATAAATTAGTTATAATACAGTGCTGGTTATTGGAGAAGAAACTATTGTATACATACCATCATCTCCTGGATTGTATACAGGCTTGTCCGTGATAATAAAATATGGAAGTTCTGGGCGATAACCAGATATCTGCTCAGACCATGGCTTTATACGTAATCCTATGAATGATGTATGGATGAAGTAAGTTGCTCCAGTAGTAAGGTCATAGGAGATCTATAATTAGGAAAATATCTGCATGACTAAGTTTACTACATACTGAAAAATATTGAACCAGCAATGTTGTTCATATTTCACCAATAATTTATTATAAACTTATGGTCAATAAACTTATGGTCAAGCAAGCTCTCAATAGCTCTCTTGGAAAAGGAGAAAAAGTGAATAAAACTAGAACTGCCACTATCATGGCGTGAATACCCCCGCATACCACTTTGTCACAATCAACAGTGGCCATTTAGAGCTCAAGGACAACCTCCCTGCCAAATCTGAGGTTACTAAGCCAGTGCATTGCTAAGTTATGTGTTCTACATGATTCAAATGTGAAAATGTCAAAATCAATACACTGCCGACAGGCATTCTTTAGCAATTGAGAAGAAAAGCTTTTTTTGTCAAGGTCCCTGTGACCTTGACCTTTGATCCAGTGACCTCAAAATCAAAAGGGGTCATCTACTAATCATGACTAACCTCCATTCCAAATATGAAGACTGTGGGTCAAAGGCATCTAAAGTTATTGGGCAGACAAGCTTTTTATAGTCAAGGCCCCTGTGACCATGACCTTTGACCTGGTGACCTCAAAGTCAATAGGGGTCATCTACTAATCATGACTAACCTCCAAGCCAAATATGAAGACTGTGGGTCAAGAATCTTAAGTTATTGGACGGACAAGCTTTATGAAGTCAAGGTCCCTGTGACCTTGACCTTTGACCTGGTAACCTCAGTCAATAGGGGTCATCTACTAATCATGACTAACCTCCATGACAAATATGAAGACTGTGGGTCAAAGGAATCTTAAGTTATTGGGCGGACAAGCTTTTTAAAGTCAAGGCACCTGTGACCTTGACCTTTGACCTGGAAACCTCAAAGTCAATAGGGGTCATCTACTAATCATGATTAACTTCCATGCCAAATATGAAGACTATGGGTCAAAGGAATCTTAAGTTATTGGGCGGACAAGCTTTTTGAAGTCAAGGCCCCTATGACCTTGACCTTTGACCTGGTGACCTCAAAATCAATAGGGGTCATCTACTAATCATGACTAACCTCCATGCCAAATATGAAGACTGTAGGTCAAAGGAATCTTAAGTTATTGGGCGGAAAAGCTTTTTGAAGTCAAGGCCCCTGTGACCTTGACCTTTGACCTGGTGACCTCAAAATCGATAGGGGTCATCTACTAATCATGACTAACCTCCATGCCAAATATGAAGACTGTAGGTCAAAGGAATCTTAAGTTATTGGGCGGAAGAGCTTTTTGAAGTCAAGGCCCCTGTGACCTTGACCTTTGACCTGGTGACCTCAAAATCGATAGGGGTCATCTACTAATCATGACTAACCTCCATGCCAAATATGAAGACTGTAGGTCAAAGGAATCTTAAGTTATTGGGCGGAAGAGCTTTTTGAAGTCAAGGCCCCTGTGACCTTGACCTTTGACCTGGTGACCTCAAAATCAATAGGGGTCATCTACTAATCATGACTAACCTCCATGCCAAATATGAAGACTAAAGGTCAAAGGAATCTTAAGTTATTGGGCGGACAAGAAAAAACCGACGGACAGCCGGACGGACGGACGGACAACCTGATTCCAGTATACCCCCCTTACAACTTTGTTGTGCGGGGGTATAACAAGAGGGCCATGATGGCATCACCCTTGATCACTAACCCGAGATGAATTACTTGAAAAGGTCTTACTAATAATTTGATGAAGAAGTAGGTCATACGGTCCAGCAATTTTGAAATTTAGAGCTATATTCATATAGTCAATGCTACGATATCAAATATCTAATATCTAAACTCACAGCATGTAATCTCACACAAGAAAATTTCAATGTTGTTTCATATATAATTTTATAACCAGAGAGGTCCCTGTATTTTCATCACTATTAACCAAGCAACACAGGAGTATATGTCATTCAAAGATTACTTAATTTTCAGCTCTGATGGCCATCTTGTTCAACAGACTGGAACCATTTGCATATCTTTTGTAAAAAACTTTGTAACGACCATTGCTGTACAGTCACATCAAAAACTGCCAAGTGACTGACGAGGATATGTCATTCAATTAACTTGATATTTTTTTAGAAAATATCTCTTAACGAAGATGTTAACCAGGGCAAAAAGTGTACTTTACAAGTAATAATTATAAGATTATTATTAACATCTTTTTTCAATGGCGTCTATTTATGATAACAAATATAAATACACAGTTTAAAACCAATAGCTTTTCCTGAGAAACTGAACCTTAAAGCAGCACACCTCCTGATTCATGCTAATTTTCATGAACATTTTGAAAATGTATTTGAATGTGGAATATTGTGAATTAACCAAAAGGAAAGCAATTTACACATTATCAATGGCATTTAAAAAAATTGTAAATAACCAAAAAGTGGTCCAAATATGCATACAAAAAGTGAAAAATCAGTCATTAATCGTACATAATATGCAAAATATTACTTGAATCTTAAAACTTTTTACTTTTACTTACATCTTAGTTTTTTTAGTAAAGTTTGATTTTATTGAAATATTTTGACTCAACTGGAGGCATGTAGCTTTAAGAGCATGTTTAGAAAACACAACTAACCCCAGTCCAGTAACAAATTTTCCAAAATGGTTTACCTAATTACTCAGTTATATAACTCGACAGAGTCCTGAACTTTGTTATTGTTAATAAAAATGTAAATTGGCAAGTCATTGCAATTTAATGAAGCTGAAACTTATAAATATAAGTTAATCAAAAATATCTAAATGCAAGAGCTTGACCTTGAAACTAGTGACCCCAAACTGAAACTAAGCTAGTGGACTACCCAAGGTATCTCATCCTATCAAATATGATAGACGTTGGTAAAAACAAGAGCCACTGCCAGGCGGAGAACACACTTGACTTTTTCTTACTTCTAAAGTCAAACAGAAATATTGCAGTAAAAAATACTATTAGAAAATCTAACTGTCTTGAACAAATTATAATTGGATTTTTTATATTTGACCGTGATGGTCAAGGTAACATTTAAATTAATTATCATTGCCAGTTTTGTAATAAGTGTTCTTTTGTCCAAGAATAAACCAAATCAATAAATAAATAACAAAGTTAAGAAAATGAAGTAAATTTCAAAAATTGACCTTGAAGGTATATTAAAGGTCAAGGTCATACCAAATAATTCAACATGTCGATATTTGTCATGTGTTCTTTTGTCTAAGTATAACTCTAATCTGTACTGGGATATTTCATATTTACCGGACAATCAGTTTACCAGACAGAATCTATTCCTGTTGAACACAAGTGCTTTAGTTTGTTTTATTTTTGTTTTGATTCAAATGTTATCCGGTCTGAATCGTACATGCACTTTCCATTTCGAACAATGTGTTTGACACTTGGGTGAAATGTCACAGGAAGTTTTGTTGGGAGTACTTTAGAAAGGTGCTTGAATGACGTTACGACTTGCTGTTGACGTTCAGTGTACGCCACCTATTTGGTACTGTCTGCCTTAAATCTTTGCTCTTTAAGTTATTTGTAAAGATATTTTAAACAAATGTAGAATATGTTTGTCTCTAATAATTATCTAAATATGCGATTAATATCTTAAGTGCACCGCCATTAATTAATTTTGTCACGAAGTATTGGGACAACCCTCGTATGTTATTTCATGACCTGGTCATACAGAGGAATAGTCTGTTCTGCCCACGCCTAAATATAGAGGCTCTTAATGGGTTATTTTAGATAGGTTTTACTTTTATATATTCTCCAGTTATCTCAGCAGACAATCATAATATAATTTAATGATTAAAAGTATATTTAAATTTAATCCAAACAGTATTTTATTGTTGTCTTTCATAAAGAAATACAAATTAAAAACCATATAAGAAACGGGTCATAGCTGATTTTTCAAACCAAGGGAGGAAATTACATGAAATGTAAATAAAAGGAATTGTCTGGCTTTTACAGACTTCATGAATAGAATTTCAAATGAATATAATACTTTTTTATGAAGAATCAATACGTTAATTGATTTATAGTGTTAATTTCCATCTCTTTTATTGCCCTACTTTGAAGACGCATTTTTATGTTCAAAATGTTAAATTTTGTGTTTGATAAAGTAACGTTTACATGTATTAAGAACCCAAAATCAAATGGGTGGTTTAGATTAAATTTACAGCGAAAAAACATCATATTTTGTGTTCAGATGAGTTAAAAAAGTTAAGAATATATTATTGACTTACAGGTAATGTACCACTTCCATGAAGGTTTCCAGCACCTTAAAATACAGTAGATTGTTAGACAAACACAGACAAGTCAAAAAATCAAATTAAAAACTGAAATTATCTAATTTTAAAACAGAATTACTATTTAATACTTAAAGTTATTAGTGGATACTACTTATTAAAATATATTTAAATTTTTGTTTCATTACCATTTAGATAACAAAACTTTAGAAAGACAGAATAATTACAAGTAACCTTTATTAACCCAAATGCCATAAAATGTCATAACAAGGAAAAAGAAAAAGTAAATTGATTGCCAAACAAGATAATCACATGCTGTGTTAATACTCATCTGATAGCAGAAACACCTATAACCAATTTTTATAAAAATTCTAAGATAAAAAGAAGCATAACTTTTAAAAGTAATGCTTTCAGTATAATGCCCCTTATCTGACAACTTTGCCTTGTCACTTTAATCAAGTAAACCAAGTTTCTTGTTGATAGCTCTGATAGTAATAAACAATTTTGACAAAAACTCTAAGTTAAAAAGGGGCCACTTGCTACCTAATAATACAAACCTTTTTTTGATTTTGGACATTTAAGAAATAAATCGTACAAACCTATTGTGATTGTGAACATTGAATTTGTAAAAGCTAAGTTGCTTGTTGTTTCCTGTGTTACACGTAAACTGACAAACACACTCACATCCTCACTGGCAGGTTTTGTCAGAGTACAAAATGCAGTAAAGTCCATCCCATTACGTAGTTCTTTTGAATACAGACATATTATTCTACAATAAAATAAAAGAAACTGCACAAGTAAATCTATACAGAAGGAAGAACTATATTCATTGGAACTCAGCATGACAATATTAAACTTCACTTAGAAGTCCAAAGCATTCAAAATGTGAATGAGCTACATCAATTTTATTTCTGGGCCATGCCATCTCAATTTTTGGAATTTTAACTTGATTTTAGAAATGAACAAAGAAACAGCTGACCATCATTTCTGTAAAGTTTCATGACTCTTGGTCAAACACTTTTTGGGCTAAGCGTGACACATGTTGAAAATTGCAAATATTTACTAGGTCAAGGGCAATTACTCTACAAATACTGAATAAATTCACAATCAAACATCAAGGCGTACAACAAAACATGCTGGCAAACATTCCTGTAAAGTTTCATGACTCTAGCTGAAATATTTTTTGAGCTACCCATGACACAAAAGTAACATCTTAATTTAGTGGTAGAAAATAGATCTATTACAGGTTTAGACTTCTTAATGGTAAAGTAGGAAAGTCAACAAGTATTATTAAGTGAGACATTGTGTAGAGATTTCATTAAACAAGAGCCAAATGCCCCTAAAAAGGTTTCTTAAGCATGAAGGTATTATGAAAAGAAAATGAAAGTAACTAATTGCTTAATATTGTACTTGTGAAAAGAAGTGCTATTTATAGCAAACTTAACATCTTAGAACAAGGGTCTTGGATGTGACATTGATGTGGTAGCACATTGTCTTGATGTGGTAGAAATTTATGCCAAGTTATTTTAAAATACATGACAAAGTTACAGTCCAGACACGAATATGTGTAACTATAAACACTAATTGTGATAAAGTGAACTTCAAAATGGTAGTGTGATCTTGACCTTTGAGATAGGGGCTTGATTCTTGTATATGACACAACATCTTAATGTGGTAGACATTTATGCCAACTTATTTTAAAATCCTTTGATACACGACAAAGTTATAGTCCGAACATGAATGTGTGTAACTATTAACTCATGTGATAATGTGAAAATTCAAAATTTTTGTGTGACCTTGACCTTTAAGTTAGGGATGAAATTCTTGGACACAACACATTGCTTAATGTGGTAGACATTTATGCCTTGTTATTTTAAAATCCTTTGATGAATGACAAAGTTACAGTTCAGACACAAATATGTGTTACCATTAACTAATTGTGATAATGTGAAACTTTAAAATGTTACTGTGACCTTGACCTTTGAGGTAGGGACAAGGTTCTCAGCAGCGACACATTGTCTTGATGTGGTAGACATTTGTGCCATGCTATTTCCAAATCCCTCATTGTATGACAAAGTTACAGTCCAGACACAAATGAAGTGGGGACGCACAGACGGACAGTGTGATTTTAAATTGCCGCCCAGTGTGGCATAAACACATAATGCCAGGTTCAAAATAATATTTCAATTAATCAAAACAATGCTCTGATTAAGAGGTATGGTACCTGATGTAGGTAGGATACAAATATTTTGGTTCAGTTCTGTTTGTTGTTTCACAAACAATAAACATATTCAGTATTGTATATGAACTTACTTTGGTTCTGTTTCTGATATTAAGACTGGTGCATCTTGAGCTGTTACTATGGTAACTGCCAGCAGCAGGAACACTCCAGCTTCTAGTCCTCTCATCTTATCTGACAATATATTCAAATTATAATGGAATGTATAAATATAACTGAAAACATATCATAAACAAGATCCAACATTACAACAATAAATTGCAAAATATAAACAGATTTTATTTCTTCTGAAAAAGGTACTCACTCACTGAGTAACACGTGGAGAATTCAAACCACAGAAAAACTAAAATATTCTGGGGTTGACATTGTCTGGGGCATGGAATAGTCTTTTCTTTTATGATTTGTTGAAGACTCGATACATTAGGATAACAAGCTATCTGGAGGCTTTATGAAAATACTGCTTTATACATGTACCTATATCAGATTTGAATAAGTATAAATATCTTATTTTAAAAAGCAATATTAACCATCACTTCATGTCAACAAATAATAAAAAGAAATTTATAATTTTGCTAAATATGTGAAGAATCAAATGAATGCAGATAAGACAAATCACACTTTCTCTATACACTGTCTTGTTTTTTATCCTTTTATTTACAAGGCTCATCATATAATAAGTGAGACTGCTTCAGTACCTTTAACAGGAGGGCCATGATGGCCCTGAAATCGCTCACCTGTATATAGCCCCCCTCCCCCGCCCCCGGCGGGGCCAATTTTAACCCAGGGGTTTTTATTTGAACAAACTTGGTAAACACCCATTTGAAGATATTTCATGATAAATATCTAAGCTCTAGCTCTAAAAGATTTTTTAAGTTTTTACTAAACACATATAGAGAAAAACAATGACCCCCTCCCCCCTCTGGGCAGGGCCAATTTTGTCCACAGGGCTTTTATTTGAACTAACTTGGTAGACACTCACTAGAGGATAATTCATGCTTAATATCTAAGCTCTAGCTTACAGAAGATTTTTTAAATTTTTACTATATACATATAAGGAAAATCAATAATCCCGAGGGCGGGGCCAATGTTAACCCCAGGGCCCTTATTTGAACGAAAGTGGTAGACACCCATTAGAACATGTTTCATGCTAAATATCTTAGCTCTAGCTCTTAGGGTTTTTTAAAAGAAGATTTTTTTAAGTTTTCACTATATACATAAAGGGAAAAACAATGACCCCCTTGGGCAGGGCCAATTTTGACCGAAGGGCTTTTATTTGAACAAATTTGGTAGACACCCACTAGAAGATGTTTCATGCTTAAAAGCTAAGCTCTAGCTATTTGGGTTTTTTAAAAGAAGATTTTTTAAGTTTTTACTATAAACAATTAAGGAAAATCAATGACTCCCCCCGGGAGGGGCCAATTTTAGACCCCAGGGCATTTATTTGAACAAACTTGGTAGACACTGACTAGATGTTGTTTCATGCCAAATATTTTAGCTCTTTCGGTTTTCTAAAAGAAGATATTTTAACTTTTTTCTTTCGGTTGCCATGGCAATATTTCAAATAGCTTGTAATTACTTGTTTAATTTATTAGAAAACAAGAGCGTTCAGTGATCACATGAGTTGCCTCAATATAGCAAACTGCATGTTGCAGCTACTGTGTAGCAGGAAGCACAGAAACCATTAACAGGACAAAATGCATTTTTTTATTAAAGGGCTATAACTCATCTGAAAATCATTCAACTTGTAAACCCGTGTAATATGCACAAGTACTTGAGCTACTCATAAATCCTGTAAAGTTTCATTGAAATTGCATTAGTGGTATAAGAGAAGTGGTCTGAACCACTCTGATTACAATCAGCTCTAAATAACACATTTAGATGTGACTTACGGAGTAAATTCTCGAGACTTTTCAGACAGACAATCATTTCTTTTTGCAAGCGATTCTGTTTCTATTTTTAAACACCGGAAAACCAATAGCGAGTAGATAATTATCACAATTTCAAGATATTACACTGGAACAAACGATAGCATGGTCAATGAACATAATTATCTATTGTTAGTAAGTTTGATATAGAACAACTTTTATGTGTTCTCTGGTTTGATAATGGTAAATATAAAGTGACTGAAACAATCAGCAATTCACCTGAAAGCTTGCTATGATATTTTTATTGTAAGCCTGAAAAATCCTCAGGTAGGTGAACACCCAATCAGTCCGCTAAAGGTAGGCTGTTGGAAATGGCCTAATGGGACCTGTTATCACTACACTTTCAACAACAGAATTCACACTTTCTCATATCAGACAATTTAATTGGATGGCTAAAATCCAAATCTGAATGAATGCGAAACAAATAAGGTGGATTTCAGATCTACATGTAAGGAATAAGTAAATCTGAACTTGTGTCAGATTGAGTCTGGACAAATTTTAAAACTTATTAAAGGCTCATTGAACAAAAAAAAATGCTAATGAGATGCACAACTACAAATTGTATTTATCATTCTTGTAAAATTTGGATGAAATTGCACTAGCAGTTTCTGAGGAGTAATCCACAGACAAGCTTCTGTGTAACTGGCAACATAAAAAACACCTTTTTTTATTCCAGGGTCATATTAAAGACTTAAAAAAAATGGCCAATGTCAAAGTTTTTGAAAGGCAATATGTGTCCACCAATGACAAATTTTGACAATTTATTTGTTATTTATTAAAACATATATACTATTGTTAAAATGTGTCTATACCTTTAAATCAATCTACTTTTGTAAACAGTCATAGGCTATTTATAATGCTGATTTGCCAATATAAATGAATAAACCCACAGACATAAAGCAGATTTCATTTTTATTGGACTTTAGCAAGAAGAATATGCAAAACTAAATCATTATCATAATTTGACATATAAGCCTTATGTACTAAACTAGAAATTTACATGCTGTTACTCTTGCTATAAGTAGGTATTTTAGCAACTATAAAAATAAATTACTAAAAATATTGTTTAAATAGTTCCAGTATGCATGAAATATTTTCTATTTGATATAAAAGAACATAAAGACATATCATTTACACAAAATAAGCAGGAGATTTAAGCTTTATTTATACATAATACCCATATTTGTTACACAAATGCTAATTAAAAGAGGAAATTGAGAATATCGGAAAGGTTCAATTATGATATAAAATGTCGCTAGGATGGATAGATTTTACACTAGTAAGATAACCAGTCATTATAAACAGTGACATATAAAATACAACCAGGACATCATTGCAAAGATTGTCCTCAAAGTAGCACACCATAGTAGAAAGAATATGTGAGATAAATGTATTTAAAGGAAGATCTACTCAGAACCTATGACTCTTCCACACTGCAAATACTCTAAATGTACACTATGAGTTTTTTGGCATTGTGTTCCAGACAAAGGATGGCAAATAAAAGTGGCATCAAAGGGCCATAACTTTGCAAATAATCAATTAACAAGAACAAGTTGCTTTTAAATAAATATGCTTATCTATTATGTGACCTTGACCTTGCTCCCATATCTAAGCTGCATCTTAATATAAGCTGCCCACACAGCAAGGTTGGTGTCAATAGGTCAAAGCAAACTAAAGTTATATGTGAAAACTGAATGTCATCTTTTAAGGAACAGTGACCTTGACCTTGTACTCAGACACCTGGGTAGCAATCCCGAGTTGCCTCTTGATATAAGCTAACCACATACTTTAATTAATTTGGTGTCAAAAGGTCTAAGAAAACTCAAGTTATTATGTGAAGACCTAATTTCTATTTTTTAGCAACAGTTGACGCTCACCGGCCCAAGTAGTGTCTTGATATAAGCTACCCACATACTAAGTTTTGTGTAAATAGATCAAAGTAATCTGAAGTTATTGAGTGGAAACTAAATTTATAATATTACCAACAATAACCTTGACCTTGATCAAACTAATCTGGGTAGCAATCTTAAGCTGCCTCTTGATATAAGTTACCCAGATACAAAGTTTGGCGTCAATAGGCCAAAGCAAACTGAAGTTATTGGGTGGAAACTGAAATTCTATATTAAGCAACAGTGACCTTGTCCTTGATCACAGACACATGGGAAACAATCCCAAGCTGCCTCTTGAAATAAGCTACCCATATACCAAGTTTGAAGGCAATAGATCTAAGCAAACTAATGTTATTGAGCACAAACTGAATTTCTTTTTTAAAGCAACAATGACCTTGACCGTGATCACAGACACCCGAGTAGCAATCCAAAGCTGCATCTTGATACCAGCTACCCATACACCAAGTTTGGTGTCAATAGGCCTATGCAAACTAAAGTTGATGGGTTGAAAATAAATTTCTAATTTTAGTAACAGTGACTTTGACCTTGATCACAGACACCTGGGTAGCATCCCAAGCTGCCTCTTGATAAAAGCTACCCACATACCAAGTTTGGTCTCTATAGGCCAAAGCAAACTCTGGTTATTGAGCAAAAACCAAATTTGATGCCTGCCTGCCGACTTCGGTATTACAATAGCCCGATTTTTGTTGAAAACCTGCTTAGAAATGTTTGAATGGGCTTCATTTTAGTTTATGCATGACAACATCAACAACAATGAGGATGACACTGCCACCGCCTCTAGGACTAAAGCTGATCCAGCTAATTCCAGAATACAAAAAAACTTTCACAATTAGGGAAAGGTATCAATAGTAAGTGCAATGCCGTAACACCCACTGAGAACGAATGTAGGACAAAACCCCACCAGTTAAAACCCCACCACTCAAAATTTTATAGAGTGGACAAAACCCCACCACTAAATTTTATAGAGTGGACAAAACCCCACCATTAAATTTTACAGAGTGGACAAAACCCCACAACTTCAGTTTTATAGAGTGGACAAAACTTTCTTGTAAACATGTTAAACAAGAGGGCCATGATGGCCCTGAGGTCGCTCACCTGTATATAGGCCCCCCCAACCCCCACGCCCCCCAACGTTGCAGAGCCAATTTAACCCAAGGGCTTTTATTTGCACAAACTTGGTAGACACCCATAAGAAGATGTTTCATGCTAAACATTTAAGCTCTAGCTCATTGGGCTTTTTAAAAGAAGTTTTTTTTTAAGTTTTTACTATACACATATAGTTAAAAACAATGACACCCCTGGGGCGGGGCCAGTTTTGACCCCAGGGCTTTTATTTGAA